CTTTCAACTACTTCAATAAAAATAGACAACAATCTAGCGCTGAATAACAATTAAAACTAGAACTAGCACTAGACCTAGCACTAGAAAGAATGTTTCTAGTTTTAGGTCTAGTGTTAGTTCTAGTTTTACTCTAGCACTATTACTATGTAGAACTAACACTATACTTAGAAATAGAATCATTTGGGTTTAGCCGCACGTCTCTAAAGACGGCTAAACCCGAATGATTCTAGTTCTAGGTATAGTGTTAGTTCCACATAGTAACAGTATCTGCAGAGGCACACACAAGACCTAGAATTAGAATAATTTAGGTTTAGCCGTCTTGACTAAACCGAAATATTTCTAGGTCTAGTATTAATTTTTCGTCGAACTAAAAGTACAATTAACACTAGACCTAGAACTAGAAACATTCCGTTTTAGCCATCTTGAAAGACTCACGGCTAAATCCGAATGTTTCTAGTTTTAATGTTTGTTCTAACAATAATGCTAGAGTTAGTTCCAGTTTTAGAAAAGTAATCGATTAAAAATATTTGAAAAAGATTCACTCTGTATAAAAACTGATTGAAAAACATTGTTTCTTATTTAGTAGATATTTATGAAGATAGGTGGCGCTTGTGTAGATGGTCGTTTAAGTTGCTATTCTGTTTGTCCGGCAGTACGGATTACATGACCCTGAAAGAGCGTCTGGTCGCGGTCTTCTGTGCAGTGCAGCAAGTTGTTATACGAATCATGGCGAATCCACGGAAGTTCAGTGAGAAAATCGCGCTACACAACCACCGACAGGCCGAAGAAACAGCCAGGTTCGAGCAGATCATGAGGGAGGTGTCGGACGCTACCGCCAGGGTACGTACCCGGAGAGTTTTTCCGGGATAGAGCCTCCCCAGGGGCCCAGCGCGGGACTTTAGCGCTTAAATCGCGACGTAAACAGAGATCGCGCGGCGTGGACGCGACGAGGCGCCCCCCGCGAAATCTATCAACGTGAAATAAGGGGCCGCATGAATCGATATTTCGTACAATCGCTGCGACAGTTTTGACAGCAAAACAACGGAACGTCGAAACGAAACAAACGCAAAACAGGCGCGCATTTGGTGTGGGGTCATTGGTTTTGTTTTTTTTTTTTTTTAATACGAAATTTGTTTTAACACGCGGTTTTTCTTCGCGCTTTTTTTCTTTTCTATTTCTCGGTTCAGGAAGATTTCGCAATCGCGCAGATGACTCAACTACGTATAAACGCACGCTTGTTTACATCTTTTCTCTTCTCGTAAAATTTAGAAAAAAATTTTTTTACTGTAATCTTCTTCTAGATTTATGTCTATTCAAAGAATTAATTCTTATTGTTCTCGTCGAAATTCTTGGTAATAGCAAAAATTGGATGATTTTTTTTCTTGTTGTAAACAATGAATTGTATTAGTTATCTTTATAGAATTAATTACAAACGCTAAGTCCGCGGTCTTTCACGAAGCTAACGACTATTATCAGTCGCGATAACCTTTTTGCTTTTAGAAAAAATATTTTAATAATAACTTGTGGTTTTTGGCGTGAAGCGTGATTAACGGACACGAAACTGCAATTTGAGGAAGAAGCTTCGTGCTTATCCTGTAATTCTAATAGCGAAAAACCCTCTAATTTTCGCTAATTATTTTTTTTCTCTGAACTTGATTGATAGTGGTTTTTAATTATCTTGGGAAATAACTTTTAGGTTCCTCGGTTTTTTTACATATTATCAAGTCAATTCAAGGATACACAATTCGTTAGTCGATTTAATGTGGTTCCTATAATAAATTACTTTTTTATGTTGATCTATTTGATACTAAGTTTAAAATATACAATTGATCTTATTCCCACTCGATACTGGTTAATTTTAGCTTCAAAATTCCAATCCATCCAACTTAAATACGTCTTGATTTCTTAATAAGTTTACTTTTAACCCAAATTCCAACCCAGAATTATTCGGAATTGGTGGTAATACATCTTCATTTCGGTTCAAAATAAAAATTCCCGGTTGTTTATTTTACTTTTTAGTAGTAGATTAGTAGTCTTTGATCAATTTATATAATGATTCATACGTTTTCGAGAAGTAGATGTGTTTATGGATTTAATACCCACAATAAGAGCCCAACTCAATAAAAAATAAAATCTGTTTGAAAAAGAATAAAAGCATTCTCTTTTAACCCCGTTTTTATGGGATTGTTTGTGGAATAAGCTTTTACTTTTTTTGTATTGTACAATTACAAAAACCAAATGTAAAGTAAATGTTTATTTTTTTTATTAAAAAGAAATGTAATTAGGTTGGTACATTAAGAATTTTAAACAACGTTAACAAACTAAAATTTAAATTTATTTCAGTTATATTAAACACTAATTTTGTATTAAATTTTTTCATCTATTTAATTAATTCAATTTATAAACAGAATATGTAGGATATACAGTGTTCGCCAAAAAGTCAGCAACACCCGTTTCATTTCTGTTCCATTGTATCTACGTTTCTGAAATTTAGGTTATACAGGGTGTTCCGGTGACTCGGGGCATAAAATTAACCTCATATACTAGAGCAAAAATGATGACAATTCGTGAAAAAAAATTATTATAAAAGTCTTCAAATGGTCAAGATATGGGCCATCAAAGTTCAGAAGTTTTAACACATTTTTCTAAATATTTTCAATACCATTTATGGTAGAGCGTTGAAATTTGGTATAGGGTAAACAAATATCAAGGAAAATCATTGAACCAATTTTGACTTTGATCGGGCGGCGGCAACCATGCTATACAGGTGTCCCTAAAATTTGTTTGCTCAGAACTTTTTTGTTCGCTCGTAACCCTACATTTATTTTTGTACTTTTTAATAGAACATTTATTTTAAAGACTTTTATCACTCTTTGAAAATTTTGATAACATTGACCGTTTTCGAGTTATACGCGAAAATGTTAAGCTTCAATTTCAATGGTAACACTAAAAAATAAAAATCTTCGAAAAAGTCAAGGTTGGCCATGGCAATTAAAAAAACAAATTGAGCTGTCAACTTGCTTATGTCGTTTAAACACAAGTGATAGTTTTTTGTTAGTTAAGTTTTTATTAATTTTAAGTGTTCAAAATGGAGAGTTACACATTTAGTGAACAAACTGACATGATTTTGACATTAGGGGAATGTCATGGAAACGCCGTAGCAGTTATTGGGTGAAATTTCCGAATCGCAGAGCGCCCAATCGAAAAACATTTTTAAGGATTGAAACCCGTTTAAGGGAAAATGGGACGTTTAAGCCGAAATTTACTAACAACAGTAACGTAAGTTCAGTCCGAATACCCGAACTAGAAGAAGATATTCTAGACTACGTAGAAGAAAATACTACAGCTAGTACTTTGGATATGGCGAGGCACTTTTTAACTTCAAAAACAACTGTCTGGAGTGTTCTTTACGAGCAACAGCTTTATCCATTTCATTGTTACAAAGTTCAGGAAGTTCGACTGGCTGATTACCCACTGCGACTGCAATATTGCCAAATAATGCAGTACAAAATCCAAATTGATGATCAGTTTTAAGAAAAAGTGCTTTTTACAGATGAATCCACTTTTTCTAAAGATAGAATCTTCAATTTGAGAAATTTACATAGTTGGGCGGACGAAAATCCAAGATTTAAGAAAACTTGGAAATCACAATGGAGATTTTCTCTTAACGTTTGGGCTGGCATTGTGGGCGATGTAATTATTGGACCCGTTTTCTTGCCATCAAGGCTGGATGGAGATGATTTTTTAGATGACGATTCTTTAAACACAAGGCAAGCAATGTGGTATATGCATAATGGTGCTCCTGCGCATAGCACACAAGCTGTCCAAGAATTTCTGAGGGAACGTTTTCCAGGACGGTGTATTGGACTAGGAGTAGGTGCACCGATAAGTTGGCCCCCCGATCGCCGGATCTTACACCTGTAGATTTTTATTTATGGGGACGCGTTAAATTGCTAATTTACTGCGTTTAAATCAGTTGATCGAAAACGAGTTGATCAACTGAGGTTGCGAATTGTTGATTCATTTGATCAACTTCATTTAAGACGGCGATACCAGGCGTGCATTGATGCCGGCGGGAGTGTTTTTGAACATCTGCTTTAGTATTTTTTTGTTCTTTTTTATTTATTACTATTTGTTTATAATTTTATTGTTCTTGTTAATATTTTTGTTAGAATTTTTGTTATTTTCTTGTTTGTTGTAACCGTGAAAATTAAATTTATTGTTTTGGAAATTACATTCTTTTATTCAACTAAAATAAATTAACACTGGATTTAACTAAGTCTGCACTTAGAAATGTATGCAAATAATAGTTATTAGCTCAGTTCGTTTTTGAATTGTCATCGCCAACTCAGATTTTGCGGAATATGTTTCCTTTTTTTGTTTGTTACGATTGAAATCAAAGCTTAACATTTTCGCGTATAACTCGAAAACGGTAAATGTTATAAAAATTTTCAAAGAGTGATAATAGTTTCTAAAATAAATTTTCTATTAAAAAGTACAAAAATAAATGTAGGGTTACGAGCGAACAAAAAAGTTCTGAGCAAACAAATTTTAGGGACACCTGTATAACATGGTTGCCGCCGCCCGATCAAAGTCAAAATTGGTTCAATGATTTTGCTTGATGTTTGTTTACCCTGTACCAAATTTCAACGCTCTACCATAAATGGTATTGAAAATATTTAGAAAAATGTGTTAAAACTTCTGAACTTTGATTTATAATAATTTTTTTTCACGAATCGTCATCATTTTTGCTCTAGTATATGAGGTTAATTTTATGCCCCGAGTCACCGGAACACCCTGTATAGGAGGTTCATACCGATCTTTCGATCTAAAGTATTTTCAAGATGGTGGCAACTTCCGGTCCCCCGGAAGTAGACCACAACTTCATTATTTTAAATGGAATGCTATAGTTTTTATTGCACCTTTTAATTATGCGAAAAAATAAGTTGACTTTGATAAAGGTTATTGGTACCTAGCGTTTTTCGTTTTCGAGTTATTTTGATTTCAAGTTTTTCTTGGCAATTTTCACCATGCCCTTTAAAACTCCATATCTCAGCAAACGTTTATTCAAAAAAGCTCTAAATTGGCACGATTACTCTTCAAATGCTGTCAAATAGATTGTCATTTGCTGTATCACAGTATCTTATACAGGCTGGTCAAAAAGTGAACTACCTTTTTTCCGCGTTCAATGACAAAAAAGTCGAAAATTTTAAATGGTACACCCCATATTTTATTAGCTCACCAGAAAAGGAGTTTGCCATTTATTAGGCCATCATATTTTGACAGTTTTTTGTTTAATTTATTTTTATAATTAACTTTGGTTGATAATCTTTTAATTTACTATCTTTGATTTACCAAAAAATAACAAATAGAAGAACAAATGAATGAAACAATGAAAACAAAAGTTAGGTTTGGATAAAAAATTTTATTCTCTCTTTGGTAGGTTAAAAAAATCGTTCCATTTAAAATTCTCAGCTTTCTGGCATTGAATATGGAGAAACGATAATTCAATTTTTGACCATTCTGTATAAGATACAACAAATGACAATCTATTTGATATCATCTGAGATATTGTTTAAGAATTCTTTGTGTCAAATAAGAAACAGTGGCATCACATTGACTTTATTTTTTTCTTGAAAATATTCTAGATCTAACAGCATCAAAAAGCTGGCTATGAAGCATGGGCGAAATGAATATTTATGATGTAAGTGTTCCATTAGAATGTGTTGTCTAAAAAAATATATTTTAGGTCCTTCAAATTTTGTATAATTTAATAAGTAGTGAAGATTTGTAGAGTCTGTTATATTTTGCAATATTTTGGAGTAACGCTGGCTTGGAGTATATACATAGTGGAACAAAAATCTGGAAACGCCTAATTTTGTTCTAAATAAGTAGGTAGAATTGTACAAAATTTAGGAATACGGGAATTCCAGACTTAACATTTGTAAAGTTGACAGCTTTAGCTATACAGTACTTTACCTGCAGCTCGCGAATATTTTTAGTAAGTATGCCGCGTAAACATTCTTTGCGTGTTATAGAATTGTGTCCTGCAAACACAGTGTTAAACTTGGTTCGGTGAATGTTAGGTCTCTATTTTTTTTTTTTGATCACATCGGGGAAAGTGATCATCCAAACGTGTCGAACTAGAACCATCGAACCCGTTAGTGAAGGTAATATGATACTAAGTATCCTGCTTGGTCGGGTAGGTAATGGTTCCAGCAGTGAGATTAACATAAGTCATGTAAAATCCGGATTCGGCCGCAATTTGCTATCTAATCTAGAAATCACCTTTACTTCTGACAAAACTTTTTGTTGATATTTAACCCTTTGTGTCCCAAGAAGTCAAACATTTTGAAACTTTGTGACAGAATCAGACAGAATTAAAACGCTATCAAAATACACTCAGTAAAGGCCTTTGGAATAAAATTTTAGCAAAATATGCAATCCCCCTATTTTCGCATAGTCTTAGTGTAAAAAAAGATGCTAATTAAAAAATTCCTGGAAACCGTGTTTACTGAAATTAAGAAATAAAACTTATTTTAAATTCAAGCTTGAAGCTTTCTGCTTAAATCGATGTATAACAATCGATGGGTTGAATTAAAAAAATATTGAGAAAAAGAGTATTGAGTTAAAACTAACATTTTCGTATAACCTAAAAGTGTCAAAAAAGATGCTAATTTAAAAATTCCTGGAAGCCGTATTTATTGAAATTAAGGAATGAAACTTATTTTAAATTAAAGCTCAAAGCTTTCTCTTTAAAATGATGTATAATAATTGTTGGGTTGGATTGGAAAAATATTGAGAAAAAAAATGTTGAAACAAAACTTACATTTTCGTATAACCTAAAAGTGTCAAAAAAGATGCTAATTTAAAAATTCCTGGAAGCCGTATTTATTGAAATTAAGGAATGAAACTTATTTTAAATTAAAGCTCAAAGCTTTCTCTTTAAAATGATGTATAATAATTGTTGGGTTGGATTGGAAAAATATTGAGAAAAAAAATGTTGAAACAAAACTTACATTTTCGTATAACCTAAAAGTGTCAAAAAAGATGCTAATTTAAAAATTCCTGGAAGCCGTATTTATTGAAATTAAGGAATGAAACTTATTTTAAATTAAAGCTCAAAGCTTTCTCTTTAAAATGATGTATAATAATTGTTGGGTTGGATTGGAAAAATATAGAGAAAAAAAATTTTGAAACAAAACTTACATTTTCGAATAACCTAAAAATGCTAAAAAGATGCTAATTTAAAAATTCCTGTAAGCCGTATTTATTGAAATTAAGGAATGAAACTTATTTTAAATTAAAGCTCAAAGCTTTCTCTTTAAAATGATGTATAATAATTGTTGGGTTGGATTGGAAAAATATAGAGAAAAAAAAAGTTGAAATAAAACTTACATTTTCGTATAACCTAAGAGTGTCAAAAAAGATGCTATTTTAAAAATTCCTGGAAGCCGTATTTATTGAAGTTAAGGAATGAAACTTATTTTAAATTTAAGCTCAATGTTTTCTTTTTAAAATGATCTGTAATAATCACACTTAATAACCATTTATCAAAGAGATACCTTCTTGAACAACAAAATTCAACAGCACCACTTTTCACTAAACTTCTAACCTCACATCTGGATGAATAAGTTTAAAGTGTACCTAAAAATCCTACAGTGCGGATTGCGACGTTTTTTATACAGATTATTTCTTGTATACACTTGTATAGTAGAAAGTACAGACAGCTCTAAATGCGCCGAATAGATAACTACAGTTTAAAATGAGTGTTTAAAATTACCGGTACTTTAAAGTACCGTCGGGACACAAAGGGTTAATACTGCCAAAACGTAGACGGTTGCATAACAAAACTCTATTTCTCATATCAGTTATTGGCATGTCTTGTAGGCAACGACTTCAATTTCTGCAACCTGGGTTGAGATCCATAAACACATCACTTGATACAACTCCAATTTTTATTTATTAATTTTCTCCATATCAAGTTTTTTGAAAAAGACAACGACTTCTTAGTATCCTAATTAAATTCGGCCTATAATGTTTTACAATTTTGAACAAAATACAATATAACAAAATTAATATTTGAGATATCAATAGATGGACAACAACGAATTATAAGCAATCTTCGAACATGCAACAATGACATAGCTTTGAAGAAAATTTGTGGTAGGGATGGCTTTAAAGATGTGGGCTTAGAGAAGATTTCTAGATACGTTTTCTTCAATATGAATTTATTTAGATCCATTTAGTTCAGGAATAGATTTTAATAACCTGATTTGAAAGTATTAATTGTTTCACCTTCAATAAATGTTTTTGTTTCACATTTATCAAAAAAGTTTTCAGTTACTTCTTCATAACCTTCATCACTTTCACTTTCATCTAACGTCTTATGCAATTCTTTAGCGACCGCAAAAGATTTAAAATTAAAATAAGAAATGACACAAAAACGAATGCAAGAAATAAACCAGTATTTATTTTACTGAATGCTTGATTTTTGCGTTTAAATAAAAATGTTTATTCTCCACCATTTTAATTTTCAAACTTATTACGTATTTTTATATACTCCAAATATTTATATAAATATATGTACGTTAATTTTTTCTGCCAATTTGTAACATCTTCAAAAACTGCTTTAACACCATCTCATTGACTGCCTTCGTTGAACATTTTTCGAAAAATTGATATGTATAAACTAAATCCTCTGCATTAGTTGTAGGAAACCACTGTAGTTGAACTTGCTTATAGGAGGGAAATGTTTTGAGCATTTTTACTTAGTACTAAAAAAATTATATTTTGAGTCATAACGTGTTTTCACATTAATTTTAGATTACACGATTACAATACCTTCTTTTTATGTACTTTACAAATGCAACAAAGTAAAAATAATAATAGTCTTTATAACTGCGTAAAAGCCGATTTTGTTGCTGCGGAGTAGTAAATAATATATTATTGCGTTTGTTATGCATTATTTGTTTGTTTGCGAATCTATTCGATCTTGGCGAGTATAATTATAAAATCATTCCCACCAAAAAGAATGGACGCGCTTGTTTATATTAGAATTACGTTCGACTTCCGCATACCATGTCTGGTTTGTCATATGGTGGTCTTGTTTCGACAAAATTTAATCCAACGTAAATATTAATTTTTAAAAAAGGATTCACTACAAAGTATAAATATTTGTGTTTTCTTGTCTAGATTTACTTTTAGTGCGACTTTTTATAATGTCGTTTATATCTTAAAATATTTTTGAATTCTTTACTAGTACTCTAATTCCTGATGTTTTTAGAAGTTTTAAACATTTCAGGTAGCACCAGATAGACAAGCACAGTCAAAGCATACACTGCGAATCAGCAACCAAACGCTCGGTTCTTTCAGGGGCGGCTCATTGCCGAACGTCTCCGCAGGCACAACTACAGTTAAAACGCCCCCCAGAGCATCAGACTCCTCCACCAAGGTGACGTCTATCTCAATGTCGTGTTCTTTAAATTCTCCAAAGCTTTTTTTAAATAGTGGTTTTTGTTTCTTGTTTTATTCTTTCGTTTTATTTATACAAATCAATAAATCGTTTTCAGTTTTGTTTACACCTATAAATTTTTTGTTCTAGTTTATGCAAATTTCCCTTTTCACCTATTTGCATGATTGAGTTTATCTCTCTTTGTTTTTTCCTCGAACCTGTTCTATCGAGGAAGTCAGTCGGCGTCGTTGTCGCATACTAAATGCGAAATAAGTCACGGCCATAGATTGGAAATGTCAAGTTGTTGGAATAATAACGATTATAATAATTTCGATTCAAATGATTTTTTTTAAGTGTTGTAAATAATTTGATTAAAAGATCCATTTAAATTAATTGAGGCGATTAAGATTTTCACATTTCGCGGTTGAATGAATCGTTTCTCTTTTATACCAGTTATTTTTTTTAAAGACGGAAGCGCAGAAGTAATTAAAAAATACACCTTCTTTTTAATTTACTTTTATTTCGTATATTTATTTTGAGTGAAAGTCGTTTGTCTACTTGTTTGTATTTTATAAGCACGACTTTCACGAGCAGTGTTAATTTAACTAAAACTAGAACTAACACTAATACTATCAACAGAACTAACAGATCTAGAACTAGAAACTTGCGGGTTAAGCCGTGCGTCTCTTAAGACGGCTAAACCCGAATGTTTCTAGTTTTAGTGTTCGTTCTAGTTTTATTTCAATAATAAAATACAACAATCTACCACTGAATAACAAATGAAACTAAAACTTTTACACTAGCATTTGGGTTTAGACGCACGTCTCTAAAAACGGCTAGACACGAATGATTCTAGTTCTAGGTATAGTGTTAGTTCTTGTTTTACACTTGCACTGTCATTAGTACTAACACTATACCTAGAGCACTATACCTATACCTAAGTTGCACTAGCAGTGTTACTATGTAGAACTAACACTATACCTAGAACTAGAATCATTTGGGTTTAGCCGTCTTTAGAGACGTGCGGCTAAACCCAAACGATTCTAGTTCTAGGTATAGTGTTAGTTCTTGTTTTACACTTGCACTGTCATTAGTACTAACACTATACCTAGAGCACTATACCTATACCTAAGTTGCACTAGCAGTGTTACTATGTAGAACTAACACTATACCTAGAACTAGAATCATTTGGGTTTAGCCGTCTTTAGAGACGTGCGGCTAAACCCAAACGATTCTAGTTCTAGGTATAGTGTTAGTTCTTGTTTTACACTTGCACTGTCATTAGTACTAACACTATACCTAGAGCACTATACCTATACCTAAGTTGCACTAGCAGTGTTACTATGTAGAACTAACACTATACCTAGAACTAGAATCATTTGGGTTTAGCCGTCTTTAGAGACGTGCGGCTAAACCCAAACGATTCTAGTTCTAGGTATAGTGTTAGTTCTTGTTTTACACTTGCACTGTCATTAGTACTAACACTATACCTAGAGCACTATACCTATACCTAAGTTGCACTAGCAGTGTTACTATGTAGAACTAACACTATACCTAGAACTAGAATCATTTGGGTTTAGCCGTCTTTAGAGACGTGCGGCTAAACCCAAACGATTCTAGTTCTAGGTATAGTGTTAGTTCTTGTTTTACACTTGCACTGTCATTAGTACTAACACTATACCTAGAGCACTATACCTATACCTAAGTTGCACTAGCAGTGTTACTATGTAGAACTAACACTATACCTAGAACTAGAATCATTTGGGTTTAGCCGTCTTTAGAGACGTGCGGCTAAACCCAAACGATTCTAGTTCTAGGTATAGTGTTAGTTCTTGTTTTACACTTGCACTGTCATTAGTACTAACACTATACCTAGAGCACTATACCTATACCTAAGTTGCACTAGCAGTGTTACTATGTAGAACTAACACTATACCTAGAACTAGAATCATTTGGGTTTAGCCGTCTTTAGAGACGTGCGGCTAAACCCAAACGATTCTAGTTCTAGGTATAGTGTTAGTTCTTGTTTTACACTTGCACTGTCATTAGTACTAACACTATACCTAGAGCACTATACCTATACCTAAGTTGCACTAGCAGTGTTACTATGTAGAACTAACACTATACCTAGAACTAGAATCATTTGGGTTTAGCCGTCTTTAGAGACGTGCGGCTAAACCCAAACGATTCTAGTTCTAGGTATAGTGTTAGTTCTTGTTTTACACTTGCACTGTCATTAGTACTAACACTATACCTAGAGCACTATACCTATACCTAAGTTGCACTAGCAGTGTTACTATGTAGAACTAACACTATACCTAGAACTAGAATCATTTGGGTTTAGCCGTCTTTAGAGACGTGCGGCTAAACCCAAACGATTCTAGTTCTAGGTATAGTGTTAGTTCTTGTTTTACATTTGCATTGTCATTAGAACTAACACTATACCTACTTAGAGCCAGTAATGGGCGCTGGGTAAATACCTGACGGGTAGGTATTTATAAAATGGATATTTATCCGGGTATTTACCCCGGCCCAGGGTAAATACCCAAACAGTACGTATAAAAGTGATACAAGTAAAAATACATTAGATTCCGAAAAAATTAAGAGGAAGATGATGAAATGGACGTTTATCATCAGACGAATCTGTCGTAATTTAGATTAGATCAAGTTATTATGATTATTATCATCCAGCTATTGCTGGACATAGGCCTTCTCTATTCTGTTCCATTCTATTCTATTCTGTGCTGTCTGAATTCAATTGTTGAACTTTGCCACAATGTTGACCACATCATTTGCGCCAGTTCTTCTTCATAGGTCTTCATTTCGGTCTTTGCGTTACTTTGAGCCTCCTGGCAGTGGCTACCGTTAATGTTTCGGAGCCGTATGTCATAAGGGGAAACACGAATTGATTGAAAGCCTTTCTTTTCAAATATACAGGAATATCGCTCTTGAAGATGTCTTTAAGTTTCCCATAGGCTGTTTAGTTCGCTTGTTTGATTATTTCTCGATACACGAACCTCATGGCCAAGATACACATAGCTGTTATCCCTCTCAATCTCATTATCCCCAATGTTGATGTTATACTTGGGAACAAGATTTGTCATAAATTTTGATGTCTTTACGTCAATATTTAGCCCAACTCTTGCACACACCTCCATTAAGTCGTTCACCATTAATTTCATCTCTCCAAGGCTATCCAAAATAAGAACTATATCGTCCGCGTAGCATAAATTACTTAGGTATTTGCCATCAATGTTTATGCTTTTTTGGGTCCAATCTGGTTGTTAAAATGCATTCTCCAGGACTATGATGAACAATTTGGGTTCAACATTGTATCGCCTTGTTTTACTAACAATCAGTACTTTTCTACTTCCACTCTCTTCAGTACTTTTATGCAATTTTACCGTCATTGTAGAATTCTTGTAGATGTTATAAACAAGTGTATCGATAATCGACTCTAAATACCCATCTTGGGTAAATACCTCCGGGTATATATCCAGGAAATTTACCTTTGAAAATAAATACCCGGGTATTTAACAACACTGCTTAGAGCACTATACCTATACTTAAGTTGCACTATCAGTGTTACTATGTAGCACTAAGACTCTACCTAGTCATGCAAAATTACTGAAAATTTAAGAAAATGTAATTTTACCGTAATATTACCGATAATATTATTGGTAACATTTACCCATATTGTATAAATTTTAGATATACTTAGGTACTGAATCACTTTTTAACGTTAATTTATGAAATGAAATAATTTTAAGTCGTAATTTGTAATTTTAAATATATTTCGAGAGAATAGAACAAAATATGTCTATATAATAAGAAGCATGTAACAAAATTTGCATTTTTTATTCAGTGCTGAAAGTGGTAGATTATCTTCATATTCATCTTCATCTCTGACGAAGTTATCAGTATCACTTCCACTATCGACCGTGTAATTATCGTCCCTATTTTCTTCTGCGCTTTCTTCCTCTTGACCTGTTTTCTTACTCATTAAATTGTGGTTGTGTGATATATGTGAGCTTACCAGCTTTTTCAACGCTCAGTCGATTTCTTCTTTGACTTGTAAATAAAGTACTAAATTCTAAAATTTTATTGATTATACCAACCAACGTGCTGAAAGTTCTTTCCATAGCTGCTGGCAAGTTACTTGAGCCCATAAAGCTTTTACTGGAACAGATTCCTGACCACCACGTAACGCCATTTCATTTTTCTCTAGAGATGACCAAGTCTTTTGCAAAGAAACCGCTTCTCACTTTGTATATTCGGCAAGTTTAGTAGTTACTATTTTCAGGATCATTATGCCTCTGATGACTTTTAGCTATTTCAAAAATAAATTCTGTGGCAACCAAATTTTGTTCTGGGCTTAAATATCGTCCTCTATTTGCTGGTTCAAGTAAATTAGCAGCTATATGTATTGGTTTTATCGATTTATTCATTCTTGACATTAAAACACTTTTAATTGTGTCCTCATCTTGAAGTATCGATGTTGATAATAATTGTCGTGATATAGCAGCTTTTATTTCCAAAAAGACACCAAAAACCTTTGATATTGTAGGAGCATTTGCTTCAAAATATTTAATTCAAGTCTCTAGGTATTCCCCGATTTTCTTCACATTACAGAAATCATAGAGCAATTGTAACTTATTCTAGTTCTAGGGATAGTGTTAGTTCTACATAGTAACAGTGCTAGTAAAAAACTAGAAATGTATCAGTTTTCTTGAATCTTTATATGTTTTATTGAACTAAAACTAGAATTAATACTACACCTACAATTATAAAGTTTTCAGAGTTAATTTTAGTTTTAGTTCAATTACATCTATTTTATTATTAACTCGTTTATTTTTTATTACGGTTTGAAAAGGTTAGTAAACGGCAATGAATTCGTGGAACAAAAAAAAACTATAATAAAGGTCTAATCCATCCGAATGTCGATTCATATCAGGCTATTAATAATAACATTGTGTTATTTGATAAGAACAAGCATGAAAGGTTAAATTTTATTGTACTCAACCTATAATAAATATTGCATGTTTTACTATTATGTAGTATCTTCCAACCATAAATAATTGATTCGATTAAATCTTCTTCTACCTTAGTTCTAAATGGCAACCAAGAAATTTTTTTCTCTATTGATTAAAACAATGTTATTAAAGGATAAACTCATTGACTATTATTCTACAGGTGTTTTATTTTCGATATTAATTTAAAACACGTACCTACTATTGTACTTACAGAAAGTGCAAAAACATCGAATCGAACGTTATTTCCAGCGTCAGCTGATCAACATTCGCTGTTTCTTATCGGGTTTTGATTTGTTTTTTCTTTCGTTTGTTTACACAACTGCGGCCAACATGTGCATAGTTCAGTGGTTTATTTGCAAAAGGCCCCTCCAATTAAACTTAATGTACAAGGTTCCGTCTTTAGCGGATTTCACCGGATTCAATTTTTTTAAAATAATATTAAAAACTAAGTTCGTTTGTAATTTTTCTTTACGATAAGAATTGAAATTCATTCTATTGCGAAGACAGAAAGCTTGACAAGTGGGTCTCATGAATATTTATTTTGCGCATGGTTTATACTAGTTGCGTGCAACACCGACGATACTCCAAGTCTGCATTGGCAATTTTCATAAACCGAAGGGGCCTCTGCTGCGGGTGTCAAAGGTCACCAAACATTCTCAACCGTTTCTATTTAATCCTCGTTACATGTAAACTACAATTAAATTTTTTTTTTTAAGTTTTTGATTAACGAAGCTTTTTCAATAATATGCATGACTTTTCTATATTTTTTTTTATCAAGTTATTAATTTTTCTTTAATTTTTTTATAGCCTGACGAAATATCTCTTTCTCACGCAAATATGGTTAGTAGTCATGGTCATAGTCACAGTCATAGAGAGAGTAGGGCGAGATCACAGGGTGGACCGATTAGAAGACAAGATAGGAAACATGATAATTCACCATACTCGACGGGTTTGTTTTTGAGTCCACCACCGGATACCAGTTGGAGACGAACGAACAGTGACTCGGCACTACACCAGAGCGCAATGCAGGTATACTTTGAGGTATATTAAAAGACGCGCTAGATAAATTTAAATTTATAATTTTTCAGGGTATGAACAACGAGAGGAATGACTCATCCGGTAATCGGTGGCTTGTGCAATCGATGAACGGTCCAGATCAACATGATGGGCGGCCTAAGTCCAGTTGTGAGGTCCCTAGAGTACCAGGAATAAAGTAGGATAAAACTAAAATTCGTTGAAAAGTAAATTATTTCAAGTAATTTTTTTAAGCATTTATCCGTCTGTTCATGAGCCTGGAACAATACAAATTCCAATAGGGAATAATACAGGCTCTCTACCTGACTTAACAAGTGTACATTTTCCGTCGCCAATTCCGACACCCCTTGATCAAGATGGAGATCAAGGTAGTTCGCCCTATAGTTCTGTAAGTTTTTATAACTAATTTTATTCACAAATTTTAATCTTGCGCTTATTTTATGAAGAGTCCTGTAAATACGAGTCCGTCAACGTTATCCCCAACGAGTCTGCAACACGGTGTGCGGCATCCCGCGCAATTTCATTTTGTAAATCCTCCAACGTCACCTCACCATCAGCAGGTATGGCAATAAATGTTCTAAAAAATTATGCGCTAACGCAAACCTATGTTTCATAATTATTTGTTTTTTTTCTTCCCAATTTTTATTTAATTTTTACTTTTTTTCGCTTAATTTTGATTTTGCATGTCGTTTTTTGTGATCTTGTTCCAGAACCATTTATCAGTTCCAAATTCTAGGTATCATTTACATCACAATAAGGTTAGTCGTTTTTTATAATTTTTATTTTAGTTTTTTTTTAATTTTTTATAGTTTGCTTGTTTAGCTTGTATTTGGGTTATTTTATCTTGTTTGGAGAGTTACAAGATTATTAATTGGTTTGTCTATTTTTAATTTTATTTTTAGAATTTACCAATTGACAAGAATTTAACGGGTATAGATGGGACTGATTATACACAACTTGCGAATATGATGTATCAACAACCACAAAAAGTGCCCGCATCATCTCCTTCACCAACGGTTAGTATTTACATATCAACAATAAAATTATTCATTTTCGGTATCTATGAACTCATTTTTTTCAATAATAAATTAAAAGCGTTTTTGTTGTTCTCAAAAAGTACAATTGTTATGAAACTTTAAAGAAGCCAATTCGATCTGACTCTATGGTTTAACCCTTTGTGTCCCGACGGTACTTTAAAGTACCAGTAGTTTTAAACACTCATTTTAAACTGTAGTTATCTATTCGGCGCATTTAGAGCTGTTGGTACTTTCTACTATACAAGACAGAATCTGTATAAAAAACGTCGCAATCCGCACTGTGAGGTTAGAAGTTTTGTGAAAAGTGGTGCTGTTGAATTTTGTTGTTCAAAAAGGTATTTCTTTGATAAATGGTTATTAGGTGTGATTATTACAGATCATTTTAAAAAGAAAACATTGAGCTTTAATTTAAAATAAGTTTCATTCCTTAATTTCAATAAATACGGCTTCCAGGAATTTTTAAATTAGCATCTTTTTTGACACTCTTAGGTTATACGAAAATGTAAGTTTTATTTTAACATTTTTTTTTCTCTACATTTTTCCAATCCAACCCAACAATTATTATACATCATTTTAAAGAGAAAGCTTTGAGCTTTAATTTAGAATAAGTCTCATTCTTTAATTTCAATAAATACGGCTTCCAGGAATTTTTAAATTAGCATCTTTTTTGACACTCTTAGGTTATACGAAAATGTTAGTTTTAACTCAATACTCTTTTTCTCAATATTTTTCTAATTCAACCCATCGATTATTATACATCAACTTAAACAGAAAGCTTTAAGCTTCAATTTAAAATAAGTTTTATTTCTTAATTTCAATAAACACGGTTTCCAGGAATTTTTGAATTACCATCTTTTTTGACACTTAGATTATGCGAAAATAGGGGGATTGCATATTTTGCTAAAATTGATTCCAAAGGCCTTTACTGAGTGTATTTTGATAGCATTTTAATTCTGTCACAGTTTCAAAATTTTTTACTTCTTGGGACACAAAGGGTTAATAGACTATGATATAAGAGTAAACATACAAATGATGAATTACACATAAGCTGGAACAAGCACTACTATCCCTGCAAAAAGTCGAGGCCCCTCACTTTAGAGATCGATATCTTCGCAACCGCTCCATAAAAAAAATTGCGACAAAGTTTGTTGTAATCACTGAACATTTCTACGTAACATATATTAATTTGAAAATTTTCGGACCGGCGGTTTTCTTTTTATCGCGAGTTAAATGAAAAAAGTACCCGATTTTTTACGGTACCATTAGCTTTGTCAACTTTGCGATTTTTTTTTCTCGAAAACTATCGTACGAAAAAATTTGAATTTTCAACAGGTGGTAGCCTGATGTGTTCTTAATGAGTGGCATATTTTATTTTTTTGATAGTCCATACAGTTTCGTGGAAAATCGCGGTTTAGTAAGACGCTTTTTGACCAAAATATGTCAAATAATTGCGTTTATCGGATACCGTTATCAGTTTTGCAAAGTTATGTGTGGTCTAATTTTTTTAGAGCGAGTTAATCAAATTATAAATTAAAAAGAAACAGAAATAAGCTCTGCCGGTAGAGGGGGGTTCTGCCCAATCGGAAAAGATGATGCGTTCCAGACAGTACGTCGCGCCTTTATCTTACCTACATAAAGAAATAAGGCGCGACGTCCTGTCTAGGACGTACCATCTGTTCCGATTGGATACCCCGCATCCCCGTCACCCGCAGAGCTTATTTCTGTTCCTTTTTAATTTATAATTCCCTTAAATCGCTCTAAAAAAATTAGAGAGATAAAACAGTATCTGACAAACGCAATCATTTGAGACATTTTGCGAAGATATCGATCTCTAAAGTGAGGGGCCTTGACTTTTTACACCGCTAATAGAATGAAGAGACTTTCATAGACTACTGAGTAATAAAGCCTGTCAAAGGGCGAACCAAAGACGAATAAATAAGAGACGAATTGAAAAGAGAACACGATCATGTTATAACGTTTACATATGAAAAGTGTACACCCTTCATAATGGTATGTAAAGAACAAGTATATAGGTAGTATAATCTATGGATGTGCCATTTTAGTTGCTAAATATTAATAATATTTCAACCGCAAAAACTTCTAGAAAGGACCCCCTTTAAAGTACATAGATCAAATCTGAAATAACTAAAACAGCGACTAGATAAATTGCAAGCTTAGTTATTGAGAAATATTCATCGACTCTTATCACATTGTTAATACTATTCATAGTTTATTACAACATATTTAAAGTTGTGCTGCTAAACGACAAAAAAATTCGTCAAAAAACATAGAATTTTTCGAAAACTGCTATTAAAAGTTGACTTTTGCGTAGTACTTAGCGACCGTCAAAACGATAGTTTTTTGTCAACAGGACGTAAAAGACTTTTTTTGTAATTCGCGACGGTAATGAAAGCTATAACAGTACTCAAACGGGTGCTGTAATGAGACTCCTTTCAGCATCCGATGCTGTAATGAGATTTTAGTAACATTTTATGGAACCAGTTCAAGTTGGTGACATTGGGTCATTAATTTTTCTAGTTGTCAATGTGATAATGTTTGTCTACGGATGTTTAAACACGTTCTTAGCATTAAATATAAGGTCCACAATGATGAGGACATTGAACTCTGAGCAATTTCTCTTATTTTGGGAGGTGTACATGAAACATTTTTTTCAGGTGAATACATTCTGTGTTTTGACAGTTTCTAATTGTCAATTCAAATTTCTATTTTCAAGTGTTACGGTGTTACCAACTGCTGCATACCTATTTCCCTACATTGTCAAAATTTATTTTATTTTTGTTAAAAAAAAGGATAAAAACGCGAATTACAAAAAATAGCATAAAAAACACGTTTTATAAGACTTAAAGCACTCATTCATTAAATTTGTTTTATCATTTCATTTCATGTTCAAATGCAAATTTAATATTGTTCAATATGTGAGGTTAAATCGATGTGACGTTAAGTTTTTGACATAACATTAAATAAATTCTAAATGTCATTATCCTGAATTTGGTCTTTTTATTAATTTATAACTTTAGAATACGCAGTTTTCGAAAAAATGTTGTTTGATACACGACAGCGAAACTCTTTTGCATTCTCGAACGATTTCGCTATCTTGTATCAAAAATAACTATTAAGATAATATAAATATACATAGTAAATTTCGAATTAATTATTTAATTATTTTATAATCAATGATTTTTTAAAAGTTACAGCAAGCTGGTTATCGAAGTAATAGGCCTAGTCCGCAATCTTCCCCTGGATTAGGTGGTCATCATTCAGCACCTTGCAGTCCAGGAGCACCTAGTCCCTTATCCAACGACTATTCAATATTCTCCCCAGCCCAGTTACAACAACATTTTGAGCAATTCTCAATGGTGAGTGAAAAATAAATTACTTTTTAGGTTTCTTTTTTGAATACACACTTTCACTCCTGTCACATTTCACCTCACGCGCCCATAATCCCCCCAAGAAAGAACGGTGTACATTTAGTCTGTTTTTTGTTTTTGTTGCGTGCAGGGAGTGGTGAGTAACTTTAGATACCAACAAATACAAAAACAAAACTTAAAGCCGAAACGCAAAATGATAAAAAAGAAACTATCGTTGTTGCTTTTGAATGTACACAGGACATTTACGCGTAAAATATTTTAATGTTCCGTTTTTTTAAATTTCAAACTCATTCATCACATCCAATCACGTACTTTTATTAGGTAAAGCCCTTGTTTTTTTTTCGGAATAAGTAAATTTAAGTTGGGTGTTTCGTTGCGCTGTTTAAACGAAACGGAGTTGTTTGTTGTGATCATTTCAACGGGGAGCTTATATGGTTTTTCTGATCAGGACTGGGCACAACTGGTCGCCAGCCTGATGGAATCGGGCTGCGCGTGGAGCGCTCAAGTGCAGGTGAACAGAGATCTTCCTCAGTCAGAGCCTTTTTTTTCCTTTTTACAATTTATTATTATTATAGACGTTCTAGGCACCGTTTCAGTTTCTCTCCTTTTCAGTTTTTGTAACATCTGTAGGCATTCAGGATTCTCCTGTACATACATCAGTTTCGTTAAACAGCTCAACCTGTTTTTCCTTTAATTTTTTGTCTATCGCAGCATGGCTAAATAATACTCGACCTTTTGCATAATGTTTTCTTATTATCAAAATATCATGCTTTCAGAAGTATTTTTAAAACCATTACGCGTTATTGTAAATCGTGTTGAATTTGCATGCTACAAGTAATTAAAATAGATATTTTAATAATTCCATATTAAGTTCTGTTGTGCACGCTGAATGAAAAAAATTGTTCTTTTATTATTATGTATGATCATTAAACAAATATATATTTTTAATATCTGTGGTGTAAAAAGTTTTTTATACGTTGTTTTAAATAGATGGACACACCAGCGAATACGGTTTCATACGTGGATCAAACGCACGTGTCGCAGTCGCAACATCAGCAGCCATTTACGGACGTAACTGTTAGCGCGCCCATCGAACTGACCAACGACGCCGGGTACTATAGTACTTCGCCACAATTTGTGTATCCTGCCACATCGCCGAGTTTACACACGACACCAAATACTCCAACAAGTATACCAGATATTATATTAACAGGTATTTATTAATCAATTTAGTTACTAAATACAAGTTATATTAAAAGTAATGTACTAAACGAAAATCCCATGTAAAGCATAGTGATTACATCAAGGTCATGAACGTTATATTTAACGAGTTGAATGAAAAATTGTAGCTAGGAAGAATTTCTTGGTAGCCAAGGATCTGCCTTTGTTTCTGCCTTCCTTATGGTTTGGCATACATGATCCTCCTTGGTGAATATGTATCTGGTGCTTGATCCACATGGTTTTTCCAACAGTTGGTATAATTCTATCTGTGTGAAATTTAGGGGGCTCTTCTTATGATTAGGATGGATTATCCCCATAATTCATTCGGTCATTTCTTCTATAGGTCATATATTGCTTTTTCCCATTTGAGGTACAGTATTGGAAAAAAATAGAGCAACTTTTAATTTTTCTATATTTAATTTTAATTTTATGTTTTTCGTCAGGTTTTACATTACTATGGCAATGTGTATTATGTAGTAATTGTTTATACGAAATTTGACAAAAATAGCTTTATTTTTATAGAAATTAAACAGAATTGCAAAAGTTGAGTTGGAAAAACACAATTTATAGGTAAATAACAGTTAAATTGAATAAAAAGCAAAGATTTTTTAGTACTTTATACAATCTCCTTTATTATTATTGTAGATTTAATTCTGGTGACTGTGACGGCCAAGTCATCAAATTTATTTTATTTTGTTTAAACCATTCCTTTACGACTTTAGATGTGACTTTCGTCGGCATAAGGTTTCGTAACATTTCTTAATATACAGGGTGTCTCAGCGAGACCGGTCATTAGACGTTTCTGGGATTTTGGCGAAAATAAATATTTGAGAATTCAGACTTAAGTATTATCAATTACGAGCTCTTCGTCTAAAATATTTTCAAATTTCTTGCACTTCCGGTTATACCGGAAGTCGCCACCAACTTTATTTTTTTAAATGGAACACCCTGTATATTTTTACATATTTGGATTTGTCTGTTTTCAAGGTTTATAAATAACTTTACTTTTTGCAATTTGATTCGGCCGTTCTCGAGTTATTCGATTTTTTCTAGAAAAATCTGCTCCAGCGGACATTTGTTCAAAAAATCATAGAACACTCGATTTTTGAGATATCAATTTAGGATTCAGAACATG